TGCTATAGAAGATACTTTCATTTTTAAATGTTGGTAAGTAATGTGCTTTTTCATAAGCATTTTGTGAGCCAACACTTTCTGGACCAAATAAGATACATCTGTGAGCCAGACATGGCTTAGAAAATTTGGGACTCAGTCCTAGTCAATGTTTCCCAAGGTATGGTCCAAGGACCACCTGCATCAGTGTCATTTTTTAAATGGAGAGTTACAGACCGACTCCAAACCTGCTTAATCAGACTCTCCAGAAGTAAGATCCAGGGATTAGTCAACATTGTTAGTGGAAATGGCAGAGGAGGGTGGCCCAACATCAAAGCATTGAATTTTCTGAAAGTGGGAGGTCTGAGAGACAGACATGTTCCCATATCACAATTACATATCACAAGAACTCTCTGGCCTCCGTTTTAGGAATTCCTCCTCCTCTTCTTTTTCCTCCTCATTATCATCATCTTGAGCATTTGACCATTTGACAGATATTTATTGAACTACTACTATGTGCCAGGCTCTGTTCTAGGCACTGGGGAATGCAGCACCGAACAAAAAACAATATAACCCCCGCTCTCATGCAGCCTAATTCTAGTGGTGAGAGAATAAAGAAGGCAATAGGGCAAATCTAGGAGGTGAGATAGTGATAAGTGCTAAGGAGAAAAATAAAGCATAAAGGAAAGATAGGAATTGTGTGTGGAGAGAGTATTGAGAGAAGGGGGTTGCAATTTTAGACAATTTTCAGAGAAGGCCTTGAGCCATGATCTGAAGGAGAGTAGGGAAGAGCCATGTGGAAATTGGGGGGGGGGGGGGGGAGAGGGTTCCAGACAGAGGGAATTGCAAGCAGAAGGGCTCTCAGACATTTGCAGTGTGGTGAGTTCGGGGAACAACATGGAGGACAGAGTGGCTGAGAACAATGAACAAGAGGAGGGTAATGGGAGATGAGGCTAAAGGGAAGGGGGTCAGACTATGTAGGACTTTATGGACCAGAAAAGGACTTCAGCCCTTTTGTTCTCAAAGATGCCATGGAGGGTTTTGAGCCGAGAAAGGCAGGATCTCTATGGCTTCTTAGAGGGGGTGAGGAAAGATCATTTTGGAAGACATTCCAATAAACAGGTAGTTTTGACTGTGAGGATAGTGGTGGAGGTGGTGAAAAGTGAATTCTGGATGTGTTTTGAACGAAGGGCTAACATGACTTGTCAATGAATCAGATATAAAGTGAGAGAAAAGGGTTCCAGAATGACATCAAGGTTTGGGACCCGAACAACTATAAGAATGGAGTTTAATTTTAGTGAGATGAGTTTCAGTTCAAGTCCAGAAGTAGTATGCTGGCAGAATTCCTTCTTGCTCAGGGGAGGTCAGTCTTTATTTTCTTAAAGCCTTCAACTGATTGGATGAGGCCCACCCACATTATGGAGGGTAATCTGCTTTACTCAGTCCACCAATTTAAATGTGAATCTCATCTAAAATTACCTGCACAGAAAGGTATAATAATGTTTGACCAAATATTGGGGCACTGTGGCCCAGCCAAGCTGACACATGAAATTAACCATCATGTCATCATCACCATAATATCCCTAGTTACAATTTACTGGGTGTCTATTATGTTGTTATAAATGATAAATGAGCCTTTGCTGTTTGTCATTAAACTACCTGCCAAGACACCACAAGCTAGATATTATGTATAGGTAATAAAACTGAGGCTTTCAGAAAGTAAGTAATTTGTCCATGGTCACATGGCCAAGAGACAATCCCACATCCCACTTCAGGATCTATAACCTTCCCCTCTATATCACACTGCCTCCCAATCCACACACTCCTACCTCCCCAGACATGCTATTTTGAATATCTATGCCATGTCACATGCTGCTCCTTCTGCCTGAAAAACGCACTCTCTCCTTCATCTGAATAAGCTTTACCCCTTCGTCAAGACTCAGCTCAAGGGTCGCCCTCTCTAGGAAGCCTTCCTTGATTCCTTCTCCCACCTGGATTTTAGAAGCTCTTCTTCTATGCTCTCATAAGCAGTGGACTTTACACCTGTCTACAAAAGGAATCATCAAACTACAGTTGCTGGTTTGCTGACCTTTCTTCTTCATTAGCCTATAAACTTCTTTTTTGTTACTTCACCCAAGGATATTTTTTCCATTAATTTTTTTTAGAGAGAGTGAAAGGGAAGGAGGGAATGGGAGAGAAAGAGAGAGAAATAGATGTGAGAGAGACACATCTAGTGGTTGCCTCCTGCACACACCCAGACCGGGGCTAGGGATTGATCCTGCAACTCAGGTATGTGCCCTTGACCAGAAGTCAAACCCAGGACACTTTGGGGCACAGGCCAATGCTCTAACCACTGAGTCAGGGCTAGCCTATAACTTATTGGTGGAGGGGAACACATTTTGTTCATCATTATACTAGTATCTGCAGATCCTCAGCACTTGGTAAGTGCCCCATAAATGTTTGTTTAATGAGAAATGAACAAATGTGTAAAGGGAAGACAGCAGGGGGGCTGAGAAGGAGCATTAAGAGAGGTAAGGGGTACCCAAGAGAGGACAGAATCACAACATGGGCAGAGATGTGTGGTGAATGGCGCTAAATACTGATGGACTGAAAACTAAAAAGAGGCTATTGGATTCACTAGGGGAAAATTCAACGAATGCCATAGAATATAAGTGGCTTGGTGGTTTGGAAGAGACATTTATTTGTAGAAATTTTAATGATGCTAGCCGGACTAGCTGAGACAGCTTCACCAAGATCTTGCAATCTGATCTGGGATTATAGAAGGGGTAGAATTTGAATAGGACTTTGTTGAGTGGGGAGAGATGGGACAGAGGACAAGGGCGGGGCGTGGGGCTTGTGATGAAATGAAGGGTAGAAAAGGATCACATCTTTTTAAAAATATATTTTTATTGATTTCAGAGAGGAAGGGAGAGGGAGAGAGATAGAAACATCAATGATGAGAGAATCATTCATTGGCTGCCTCCGCATGCCCCACACTGGGGATTGAGCCTGCAACCTGAGCATGTGCCCTTGACCAGAATCGAACCCAGGAGCCTTCAGTCCACAGGCTGACACTTTATCCACTGAGCCAAACCAGTCAGGGCAGAATCACATCTTTAAAGTAGGAAGGCTGTTGTGTGATCCAGGTGTGGAAGCAAACAATACATCTCAAAACATTTCTCCTCTCTTCCCTGGAAGGGTTCTTTGCCTCCCTGACAGCTCGCCTCCCATCAGCAAATAGGGAGGCATGAATCTCAATGCTCTAATATTCAAATCACCATGGTGTATAATTTCTGTGTCAATTCCTTTGATGAAATGTGTAGTAAGAACAGTAATGAGTTTAGACATATTTCAAATGATGTAAATAGCAAATCAGATAACAGCTCATCTATTTTGCTCCTGTGATTTCCTAGCCGGTGCAAATGTGACCCAGACTGTAAACATTTTTTTCTCTGCCTACTTTGAAGTGTCAGAATAACTTTGCAATGGATAACAAATGGTCATTTCTCATTGAGAAATAAAATTACATGACATACTACCCGTTGAGGCTGGCTAACCATTTCGCATTCCTAAGCTTCCTTTAAATATAAATGAGTCATCATTTGATATTATAATTCTAAAGAAATATGCTGCCTTAAATATATGCTCCAGCTTTTAGCTAGACCACTGTATTTCTTTAATACTCTCTAGCATAAGCTATTTGGGCCAACTTCTTTTCATAAGAAGAGCAGTGAAAGAGATTGGAGACCTGTGCGCCTTCTACCAAATTATAGGGCAGGGTTCAATCAATTCACAGTGCTAAGTGGGGTCATTTTTGCAGTACTAACAGAAATTACAGCTTTTTTTTTTTTTTTTAGACCTGGCATTTCCATAGTAACTGCGCAAGATCCCAACAACATGCAGATCATAGCAAATACTGGAGTAGGATTCCTTTCATTTTTATCAGATGGCGGCAGAGAATTTTTTGTTTGTTTGTTTGGGGGCTTTATCTTCTCTATGTAATTGTCAATGCCGCAAATATGTAATGCAAAGCTTGAGTTCAGTATGCAAAATAATGTCTAAATAATCTGCTAGATGTTGTAGCTTTAATAGCTAGAACCCAGCAGACCTTTGAGAAGAGGGCTGATTCCTACGTTTTCAACTCTTCCAGCCTGTTGGTCGCTTAAGAAAAGAAAACGTTAGACTGGGCTTCTCTTGTAGATAAATGGGCCACAGGGGCTCACAAAGGAATTTTTATCATTCACAGTTGACTTAATGAGAATTAGCACTTCTGCCAGAGTGCCCTTGTTTTCTGGGGTGTCTATCTCTCAGTCTGTTAGGAAATGTAGCTGGTGCCTGGTTTGCTAAGCTTGCAGATGGATGCCTCTGGGCAAAATTGTTTTCTTCAGGTGTGATGAGAAATTTTAAATGCAATTCACATTTCACATTCAACTATGACATGACAAACCATTTAAAGGTTTCTAATAAGCCAGTGCCTTACAAAAAAAAACATGGCTTACAATCACCTCCTTTCTAAAACCTAAAATGATGGGAAAAGGTGCAGCTGCTTCTCATTATTTTCACTGTCTTCAGCTGAGGGCTTGAGAGCCCAGAAACCCCTGTTTTAGGGGTTCAACATTGTTAGTTTTTTGGCTTTACTTTTATTCCCACACCTGTGCTCCCAGAACCTAAAGGGTAAAGTGCTGTCCAACTGGCATCAGCAATAGGAAGAAGCACAGGTGGCTCTTGCCGATGTGAAATTAGCTGGGGATACACAAAGGTTGGTTACCAGGGGCCAAAAGTTAAACGATACCCATTACCTCTGGACTCTCCTGCCAAATCAAGTCCCAATTCAACTGCATCTTAACCTGAATATTGTAGAGGGGAAAAGGTGTGGATTTGAATGAGTTTAAACCTCACCTCACGCTTTCATTTTATTGAGATGGTACTGAATTGTTACATTAAATGTGCTTATATTGAACATACACCGAATTTTTATCTTGCCCAGCCTTTTTTCTCACAGCTTTAAAATCCTTTCCCACCAGGTGCTGGAAGGATTGAATGCCATAACACGTTGGAGGCCCGAGGCACCTGGAATGTGCCTCCCACGTTAGATGCTTAATAAACAACGAGACCCACCTGCACCTCTAAAGTCGCTCGGGCATCTGGAATGGCTTACTAAGGAAGAGGAAGCCACAGCTCCATGGCAACATCTAATCAAGGCATTTATAGACTCTCAGTTGGCAAACAGTTCAGATACATCCCAGTCCTTCCTGGTGAGTGATTTGCCTCAACATCACCTGCCAAATCCTACTCATTTCAGACTCTCAGGTATGAACATTCCAAATAACGAGGAATTGACACTTCATCAATCAGCCATTTAATTGTGAAAAATGAAAAAGGGGGAAATCAACCACTTTGTCTTTGAGGATCAACATGTACTCAGCACTAGACAGATACTGTGATTACTCATATGACTACTCTGTAAAGAGGTATTATCCCCAATTTTAGGAACTGGGAAACTGAGGTTCAGAGGAGAAATACTTTCACATGCTCCCACAGATTTATTTAAGACAGCAGTGATCTTCAAAAGTGATACACTCACTCTAAAATGTCAGAGACTGGTCAAGTTTCTTACCACTTGCACAATTCCTACATGTCTGTGTTCTTATTGCAGATGAATAGAGGCATGTGCCTCATCTTTTCATAACTCAGGCCTTCTCTCTGAGTATAACAATTTTCTTCGTCCTACCATATGATTAGGTCAGAAGGCCAGATATGCGTTCCCAGAATTCAGAGCTGTGCTTTCTATAGATTCTGAAATGAGACCTAATTCCATTTCATTCTCAAATAATCTGCTGCTACTTGGGAGATAATCACAAGCCTGGAAAGCAGAGGTGATGTTCTTTCTCATTTGCTTGGTATCCCCAGTGTCTGAGATCAGTAAATAATTATTGATTAATCAAGCCTAATAAATTCAAAGTAGTATTTAAGTCCCATTGTGATTTATGGTAATCTTCTCTTGAATTTTTAATCATGCCACAGTGCCTCTTTTTCTAAAAAAAAAAAAAAAAAAAAAAAGGGAGATGGGATACTTGGAACAAGGGAGTTGAGTTTTCAGCTTTATTTAGGAAAGAAATTACCTGCCCTCAGTTTATTCTCATTTGATAAACTGACTCATAGCCAGTGGATTCTCATATTGTTATTCAGATTCCACCAGTATTTCCATGCAGTTAACAGAATCATTTAGCACTCGGCCCTCCATTCAACTGAGCTGCCTGGCCTATAAAGAACCAGTTATTATTTTTAAATTTTGCTAAGAGGATACATCTTATGGTAAGTGTTTTTATCACAGAATAAGAAACACTGGCAGGAGAAAGCTTTTGGAGGTGATGCATGGGTTTATGGCATAGGTTGTGCCGATGGTTTCAAGAATGTACATTTATCTCCAAACTCATCAAACTGTATACTTTAATTATGCACAGGTTTTGGTATGTAAGAAAGATTTTGCCAAAAGTGAAAAAGAGGAATCACTTATTAGCTATTATTTCCGATAATGAAAGATTTTTCCATTATGGTCAGGATCAGAGGAGACAAATTTTACAATGCTTAGTTTGAGGTTGATAAATACATTCCTTATTCCCTCGGTTCATCCTTGGGTTACATTTCCCACCACTCCGGCTTCCCACATTTTGGGGAATTTAGGGAGTGGGCAGCCTGTGAACACTTCTAGTTGTGGTGAGCCTACCTTGCCTCAACCCTCTTTTTCTCAGCTCAAAACAACAGAATGAAAGGCCCCAGGGGAGATGACAAATCTCAGCTGTTTAACTTTTCTAAAATATTTTCCTTGGAGAGGTCCTGGACCAAATCTTAAGGCTTTTTTTTTTTTTTTTTTTTTTTTTTGCCCCTTGTCCTTTCCAGACCTCCTCTTAGGCCAGGACAAATTTCTCTGAGATAGGAACTAAAGGCTGACTCAGTTCCCATCTGGAACCATCTGGTTCTTCCTGCTTCACAGCTCACCACTCATTCCTAATCACTCTCCCTCCTCTTTCTTTCCTCTCTCTGATATATTTTCAGTCTTGCTTCTTCTCCCACAAAAAAACATAAGCCATGAGATCATCTGCCAAGACGGATTTGGCCTTAAGAATAAAGTTTTTAAGTGCCCGACCACATTTCCCAGGGGATGGCAAGAATTCTTAAGCTCTAAGAAAGTGTATTTTTCACTAAAATGTAACTAGGGAAGGTTGTGCTTTCTGAAAATACCTCTGTACCTCAGGAAGTGAAATTAAACTAATCACTGAGAAATAAAAAGTAGCTTTTTCTCATCTTAGGAGCATTTCTTCTTTTCTCTATGGTACAGTATATAATTATAAAGGTTGTTTGAACAAAGTAGATCCAGAGACACAGAAACATGGAACAGACTGGTGAATCTCAGAGGGAAGACAGGATGGGTGGGTGGGAAGAGATTAACCAAAGAATTTATATGCATATGTGCATAACCCATAGACACAAACAATAGTACAGTGAAGGCCTGAGGCAGGGAGGAGGGAGGGGTTCTTAGAAGTGATCAATGGGGGGAAAAAGGGTATATCTCTATTACTTTTAATGGTAAAGATAAATCAAATAATAAAAATAAAAGAGCTTACAACACTTGGCTGGTAGGCAGTGTTTAACAACAACAACAATAAAAGTAATATAATTGGGACATTATTATGCCTCTTTAACGTATGCCAGAACTGTACATCTTTTTAAAAATATATGTATTTTTATTGATTTCAGAGAAGAAGGGAGAGGGAGAGAAAGATAGAAACCTCAATGAATAGAGAGAATCATTAACTGGCTGTGGAACGAGCCTGCAACCCAGATATGTGCCCTGACCACAGAATTGAACCGTGACCTCCTTCCTGGTTCATAGGTCGACTCTCAACCACTGAGCCATGTCGGCCAGGCCAGAACTGTACATCTCTAAAGTTTTAAAAAGATATGCTTCCATTTTATGTCATAAGTAATGTGGTGAGTCAGGGTCAAGAAATTTTTTTTCATGTCTCTTGCACTGGCCACTAGAAGGCCATTTATTTACTAAATATATATTGAATGCTTTCAATGTGCTATGGCAAGGAGAGGTTACCTAGTGAACATGCATAGCATACTCTCTCATTGTTTCTCTGGAATCTACTTAAATTGATGAAATGGGCATCTCCTATCAGTATTGCTTCCCACTATAAGCCACTGCTGATTTAATCCTGAGTTCTCCTTCTATGTTTTCCTAAATATGCTTGAAAAACCCATTTAGTAAAAAAATAAGATAAATTAAATATCGCAGTCCTCAGGGCTCCACAGCTCGGACATAGATTGCTGGCCTGTATGGTAAGTAGTTCAAAACCTTGTTTTCACTTCCCCAAGCCTCCTCCTCTTTCCACTTCAGTAGGAGCAGGAGTCTTGAGTTAAAAATCAGGCCCCAATTTGGTCACAGGATCTAGAGAGAATGCTTTTAAAGGGGCTGAAACAGTGGTTCTAAATTTGGTTGCAATTAGAAATTGTGACCTGGCCAATGTTTCCAAGTGGTTAGAGCATCAGTGCACTGAAGAGTCACAGGTTTGATTGGATTCCCAGTCAAGGCACGTACCTGGGTTGCAGGTTTGATCCCTGACCCCAGTCGGAGTGCGTGTGGGAGGCAACCATTTGATGTGTCTTTCTTACATCCATGTTTCTCTCTCTTTCTCTCTCTCTCTCTCTCTCTCTCTCTCTTTTCCTCCCCTCCCCCCTCTTTTCACTCTCTCTAAAAATCAATGGAAAAAATATCTTCAGGTGAAGATTAACAAAAAAATAAAAAATTGAATTTGTTTTTCCCACATTACCAGAGCTTTACTTTATTAAGATCATTGTGCACATCTCTACTTGGGCATCACAGGCCAATATTTTATCTGCTTGTTTTGTTGTTGATGTTTAAAATAAAATTTTATTTTGGAAAACTTTTAGATTTACAGAAACGTTGCAGAGATAATGCAGAAGTAGCATACCCCAAACACAGTTTAGGTTTGCTCTCTATTATCATCTTACATTATTTTTTTAATCCTCGTGCACAGACATGGTTAGAAAGAGAAAGAAACATGGATGTGAGAAACATTAATTGGTCGCCCTCCTTACACACCCTGACTGGGGATCAAACCTATAATCCAGGTATGTGCCCAGACCCGGAATCAAACTGGCAGCCTTTCGGTGCATGGGATGATGCTCAACCAACTGAGCCACTCCGGCCGGCCGGGCTCATCTCACATTATTGTGGTACATTTATCAAAACTAACAAACCAACTTTGGTACATTCCTATTAACTATAATTCAAACTTTATCCAGACTTCCCCAGTGTGTCCTTGCTCTCCCTCAGGATCCAGTCCAGGGCAACGCATCACATTGAGATTTTGTCTCCTAATCCTCTCTGGTCTGTAAGAGCGTCCCAGTTTTTCCTTGTTTTCCTTGACAGCCTTGAGGAGTACTAGAGGATAGTTTATAGAATGTTCTTCAACATGGAGATGTCTGATTTTTCATAGTTATACTGGAATTGTGCACTTATTTCACAGAGGTGAAATGCCCTTCTCATCTCTCCGGAGGATCCATGATAACCACACGACACCACAGGCGGTGCTAACCTTCACCACTCTGTTAGTGTTTCCTAGCTTCCTCCACCATAAAGTCACTATTTCCCCCTTTCCTGCATTATTCTTGGGAAGCAGGTCACAAAATTGAGCCCACTCTTTTTTTTAAAAAAAAATATATATTTTATTGATTTTTTACAGAGAGGAAGAGAGAGGGATAGAGCGTTAGAAACATCGATCAGCTGCCTCCTGCACACCCGCACTGGGGATGTGCCCAAAACCAAGGTACATGCCCTTGACCGGAATCAAACCTGGGACCTTTCAGTCCACAGGCCGACGCTCTATCCACTGAGCCAAACCGGTTAGAGCAAGCCCACTTTTAGGCAAGTAGGGGAAAACTGAGCTCCACCTTGTGGAAGGGGAAGTATCTACATAAATTACTTGGAACTATTAGTGGCAAGGTTTGTCTGCTTCTAACCCATTTATTAATTCAGTCATTAATTATATCTATATGGACTCTTGTATTTATTTTATACTTCGGTTTATAATCCAGTACTATGTTATTTATTTTGTTGCTGAAATATTTCAAGCTTTGGCCATTGGGAGTTCTTTTGGGTTGGTTCCTGTGTCCCTTTGGCATGACCTCATCCTTTTATTTATTTATGTTTTGCAACACTGCCTCA